ATGTCTAATATTATCCATAATAGAAGTGTCATATGCTTGCACCACATCTTATAAGTCCCCTTATTTGTATCGGTGTATCTTAATGAACAAAGATTGCATGCTTATAGTATTAAATAATTTCTTTATAGACTGCTCTAACTATCCTGCCTCTCCTCCTTAACAGAATGCTTTGCCTCTGTAATTTATACATACACCTTATGTTGATGCATATTAATCTAGTTAGTACTTATGATAAACTCTAAGCTCAGACTTGTTATCTAGCATCACTTTTTTAAAGCTCTGTAGCCATTCAAGCTTTCGATTGCTAAGCCTAATTTCAAGTGCTTTTGGATTTTTGATTGCATCATTGCAAGCAAAGTGATTTCATACTTGGTGTTGGACATTTCTTTTCTTAGCTCAGACAATGATTTTACTATGCAAGTTGTTTTTATGTATAAATCTCATTGCAAAATTTGCTCCATTAGTACATTGTTGTATCTCTTATTACAGTTTCTAGTCTCAATTTGCTTAAATTTATTTCTCTCGTCAGCGTTAGCCTTAAACCTATGAAAAAGATTAAGCTCCTCTCAACAAAAAAAAAAGTCGAAACTTGATAGAGTTTTTTTCATCATGATTTGTGAAGGTGGTTGGAAAAATTCACAGGAGAAGCTTGAAGTGTAGATGTAAGCACGTTGAGAATCAAACCACTATAAAAACTCGCAGTTTTACTCATGATTTGCCTTTCGAATTGAGATGCAGCAAAAACAACAGTAGCAGAATTGAAGGAAATACAAATTAGGAAAGAGCATAACAACTAGTGAACATAATGGCATATGATAAAACCAACGAGGCAGGATTTCTACGGCCTAAACATCCCGATAAATAATATATGATTACGTTAATATAGATTCAAGGAATGGGAAGAAACTAATTTATGAAGCCTTCATTGAAAAACGAGAGCTAGCCACCGTTACACACAAAAATTCTCACCCTCCATCAAGACCAAGGGAAACAAAAAATTCAAGTTTACAGGAAACATATTGTAATTTTCCAATGTTAGGCAATAGATAAATGAGATGATCTATGATATAGAATAAAAATGTTTATCATTAAATCCTAGATAATTCTATGGAATGGAAATACAGTGAATTATAGAAGAGAACAAATATATTTTACAAGGAACATAAGTCTGGAGTTCACAAAGCCATTACATCGCCAACATAGGTAATTAGGGTTATTAAAAAAGCTTATTGTTCAAGAAAAACTTGCGTTCGGCTACCAACAGACTCAGGGTTGATTTAATCATTAAATAAGCGATTTAATATTAAATCACTATTTTGAGTGCATTTAACAAAGAAAATGCAAATAGAGCCTTGTTCAAGCGTGTTCAGCTCGTTATTAGTTCAACACAAACACAAACAAACATATATATATATATATATATAGACACACACACACACACAAACAAACATACACTACATATATATATATACAGACAGTTTTTTTCGCTCGTTTTGATCCTTTATGTCTTCGTCTTCGTCATCGACTCTGGCTAGCGGAGGAGCTCGCGTCGTTTGCTTCGACTACGTCGTCCGCTGTGTCGTCTGCTGTGTTGTTTGCTTCGAGCCCGCTCGTCTATCGCGTCGTCTGCGGCTCGCATTTGCGGGGCTTCACGCTGCAGTTCCTTTTTTGAGCTGCTCGTCTGCTTTGTCAAGGCCGATAGACTGCTCCGCCACAGTTTCTGCTCGACTGCTCGCAACGGTCAAAGGCGGGAGCACGCAAATGACCTAAGGGTTTTCCTATGTCGTCGCTGTCGCCGGTGATAACCTCGCCAAACCCTCCTATGCTACAGTCGTAAAAAACGCAGCTCCTCATTCCACCTCGCAGAAAGTCCGATATTCCCACAAATGTACCATGATTCTGTTGTTGAACAAGAAGATTGCAATCTCATAAAAAAAGTAGAGAAAAAGGCGGGTAAACCAACAATATTCTTCTCTGACGCTAAAATTTCAACTCGTGCAGGAAAATACAAATTTACACTAGTTGGAAAGTTCCAATTAGGTTGCCCTAAGATGGAGATTATCAGGAAGGTTTTTTAAGATTTCAAACTGGTTGAAATTGGCAGGTGAATTATTTCGATGGAAGACATGTTATGATACAGTTGAGCAAAGAAGAAGATTACACAAGGATTTTCTGAAAGTAATTCATCACAATTGAGGGCAAACCTATGAAATTACTCAAATGGACCCCTAATTTTGATTTCAATTAAGAACCCCCAATTGCATATATCTGGTTCTCATTACCTGAACTCAAACTTCAATTCTTTGACCTACCTATCTTATATGCAATTGAGACTATTCTTGAAAAACCTTTACAGGTAAACTTATCTACAGTTCATTTCTCAAGGCCCTCTATTGCAAGGATTTTGATTGAAAGAGATATAACACTACCAGATGTAGAAGAAGTCTGACTTGGCTCTGCTCACAATGGTTATTGACAAAAAATCATTATGGAACAAAAACCTTACTACTGCAAGCACTGCAAGATGTTTAGACACCCGTAAAAGAAATGTTTCAGATTGCTGTCACAGTTGAGAATCAATAGTCAAAAGTAGGAGCATGCTATTAGTGCACCCCACGTGTCTGAACGCGCTCCCAACAAACCAGATGACAGCCAACCTGAGGAGGGAATTACCACAAGACAAGAATTGGTGTCTGCCCCTGGGATCCCTTCTTTTGACCATACTACAACAGATAATGTTTGAACTGAAAATCAGGATAGCCCCGCAGCTCCTATTCAGGAAGCATCAGATGCAGAGGTGACAATTCACACTTAATATATACTGGAACCTATCGTTGTGACAACGACTGTCTTTCCTTCTACTGCGATTCTAATATCTAATCAGACCGATGATCACATGAGCCAGTCTTCAGATGAA